GGGCGGGGGCACGTTCGTCGCGGCCGGGAACCCAGGCCAGGCCTGGCCCTGGCTGCACGCTGGGCGGCGACTTGCCTCGGAGCCCCCACGCCCCCTTCCTGGCTCTGGGGCGGCTCTCTGGGGCCTGCACCCCAGCACGCCGTCCTCCCGGAGGTCCCGGCACCTGCCCGCCGGTCAGCCCCGCTCTGCCTCCCGGGGCTCTGGACGGCGCACGTGGCCCAGGGCGGCAGCGGCGCTGGGCCGAGGTCTGGGCAGAGGGTGGGCGTGGAGGGGTCTGTGCAGACGCGGCTGGTCTGCCTGGCCCCAGGCCTGCCAGCAGAAGCGAGCGCAGCGCTGGGGCTGCGGCCTCCCCCACCCTCTGGCCCCTGGGCCTGGCATGGGGGCCAGAGCCCTCGGCACCCCCCAGTGCCAGCCCCCACCCCTTTGTTGTCGGCCCCTGCTGCACCTCCCTGCCCTGGCCGGGTCTGTCCCCCACCTCTGCAGGCTCCAGAACAAAAGCTCTCACGGCGGGCGGGCGGACTGGGCCGAGACTGGGCCGAGACTGGGCCGAGACGGAGCCCAGGCTGCCCCTGGCCACTGCTGCCCACCTGGACGGTGCAGGGGAAGATGCAGGCCTGAGCTCGGCTCCCTGGCAGTGCAGAGTAGGCAGCCGGTGGGGGATGGGAGGCCACAGCAGGGAGGGAGGGGGAGAGAGGGAGAGAGGGAGAGAGGGAGGGAGGCAGAGGGAGAGAGAGGAGATAAAGGGAGAGGAGGAGGGAGAGGGAGAGACAGAGGGAGGGAGAGGAGATAAAGGAGAAACCAGATAAAGGAGACTGGGAGGGAGGGAGGGGAGGGGAGGAGTGGGCTGGGGGAGGGGCCCTGGGCAGGGCCAGGAAACAGGGAGGAGGGGAGGGGGGGTTGGGGCCCTGGTGACCCCAGAGGCCCAGGCCACCCCATCTCTGGGGCCCCTCGGAGCCAGGTGGGGCGCCGGCTTCTCAGCCCCCCGGCACCCCAGGTGTCCACAGGCCTGGCCAGCTGCAGGCCAGTGTCTCCAGGGCCTCCCTCTCCTGTCTGCAAAGTGGGTGCAGGGGCTCCCTGGTACCTGGAGGGTCAACTTTGGGGCCCCTGCCTGTGTCCCCCCAACAGAGCAGCACCCACCAGAGCCGGGGGCGGGGGCCTCTGGCCTGGGTCTGGGGGACAGGAACCGGGCTGGCGTCCGCGCTGACAGTGGCCTCCCAGGGCGGGCCCGCGCCAGCCGCCACTGCGTCCTGCTCCGGCCGGGACCGGCTGCCCTGGGCCTCAGCCGGCCGCGATCACAGGCAGCCCAGAGGCTGAGGCTCCGGCCGCAGCGCCACGGGGTCACTGGTTCCCGCGCACTTCAGGGGTGCCCACAGGCTGGGGTGCTCCTGGCCGTGGGCGTCCAGGAGGGAAAGAATGGAGAACGCTGGGAGCTTCCCTGAGACGGCTGGGTCAGCAGAGAGGGCCGGGCAGGGGGTGGGGGCACCCCTCCAATGTAACCCCCTGGGTCCAGGCTCTGGCCGCTCTGCCTGCCCCACCCTCGGCCCTCAGCACTCCCCTGTGCCCGCTGTCCTGTGTCCACCCTCGGCCTGCGGAAGGGAGGCCGGCCACGCCTGCGGCTGCACTCGGGCACGCGCCCCAGCAGGAAGCGGGAGACGCCGGCAACGGGCACCCCGGTCTCGCTCGGCCGCAGCGGACTCAGCAGCAGGAGGCCCGCTGGGGGTGCTGGGGGCTCGGCCACCCCACCCCGGGGCTGAGTGTCCAGTCCTCCACGGGAGGGCGGGGACTGCCAAGGCCAAGGGCGCGGCCGGGGAGGCTCGGCTGCCGCACGGGTCCTGCCGAGCGCTGTCCAGGGCCAGCCGTGGGTTGCCCGCCCTGGACGTCCACCGCAGGCCTGTGCGGCCGCGCTCGGCCCTCCTCCGCTGGCGCCCAGGCGCGGGGCAGGACCAGGCCCGGGGCAGGACCAGGCCCCTCCACTGCCAGCACACGCAGCATCGCGCCGGCCGGGCTGGCCGCTGGGTCCAGCGCGGGCCCAGCTGTGACCAGCAGCACGCGGACTCCCTCGCTGCACAGGCCCCACCGTCGGCCGGAGGCCGAGGGAAACAGCTGCCACACCGCTCCGCTGCCCGGCCCGGCACCCCTGCCGCGGGCTGACGCCTGAGGCCACCGGCCGCCAGCTGACAGTCTCCTTCGGGCGTCTCCGGGCCGCAGGCGCCCTCAGGAAGACAGCAGGTGGAGGGGCAGGGAGGGTGTGGTCACCCCAAGCCCGGAAGAGGCCGGGGAGATCCTCGTGGCAGCTCTAGTTGCTCTCCTCTGCCCTAGAGGCCGGCCTGTCCTTCCCGGGGCTGCCCTGGGCTGGGCAGGGGAGAAAGGCGCCCCAGGGTCG